GTAAAAGATTTTGTCACTAGTTTTGATAAGTTTTCTAATAAAACAACAATGATTCAATCATTTATCTCAAAGGCAAGGTGGATGTGAAAGGAACTTAACAAGTGTTGTTATGTTATAGAGTTCTTTGATGGTTTATTCTTAATGAGTTGTGATAAGTTAGCTTGATATTTTAAATTTATGAATTTGTAACAAATTTGGAGGTATTCCTTGCTATATTTTGTTATTTTGAATATTGAACGTGTTTTTTTCTTGATGATTTTTGTTTTAGGTTCAAATGTAAATTGACATAAATTATAATGTCAATATGAATTTTTTTTTTTATCGTTTGTTATATTTAGGTGAACAATTTTATAAATATTATGACGAATTATTTGAGGTGATTTACACGTATTAGTTATTTTTTGGTGCATATTATTTTTAATTAAAATAATATAAAATACTCATTTTATGCTTCCAACTTATCATAGTTATAAGTGAAGAGGGGATTAGATGCATTTTCTCTTTTTATTCTTTTTATCTTGCAAGTCTTCTAAAATAGTTGAATGGAGGAAAGTTACCATCATAGAGCTTAAAAAACATGCATTTTCTTTTTTGCCTTTGTAATTAACTCTTTGACAAGATCAGTGTGATGGATTATTGTGATAAGCCTTTAATTTTGACCTTGTATGATTATGGATGCATTCTTTCTTCTCAAAGTTCCGAGATTTTCAATTTCTGTCGTTTGTAGATTTTATCTTTTATTTTTGTGCAGTTTTTATTGTTGGCTTAGCTGAAATTAACTTTCTTTTTTTGTCATATGGGTTATGACTATGGATGCATTCTTTTTATTTTCTCTCATGTTGGCTTTTCTTACTTGAAGCAATCTCAACCCTACTAGAAGTGCACAATCATTTCAACTTTATTAGTGCAACTCTTATGTTAGACACTCAACATGCTATTGTAAATTAGTGGAGGCTTCTTTACTCCATTACTATGATGTTGCTTATGTGGTTCATAGTATCAATTACTAAGTAAATTAAATTTTTTTAAAAAAAACTATGCCTGAGATATTGTGCATTATGATTTTTATTCGTTCTCATGATTTTTTTGCTGGAGTACTTTAATGTTGACTTCATTGGAGATCCTTCTGATAAGAAAGTTGTCATGGGGTTATGTTTATTCTAGCTATCAAATTTGACTGCAATTCTTCATGTTATTAGGAAAGTTGATGATGCTTATGATGCTTACATTACTCTGCTATGTAAAATGTCGCTCTATTAACATTTTTTATTTTGATTATGTAGAAATAGCGTTCTCATGTATTGATATATGCAAAATGTTGGCATCATTTTTTTTTATTATTTTTGATGTCATGTATGTCCAGGACGTCGATATTACTAAAGGAGGGCGTCCATGTCGTTAACGATTCAAATACGGGCTAAAAATACACAAATTATCATTTTGGATCGTTTGCTGAAAAAGTGGTATGAACGACCTCAAACGACGAAACAGACCACGCGAGTGAGTCCGCAATGTCGATTCCACTTAGAACGAACGCTCGTTGGACCACGGTTTTATGTGCAGGCTAAAAATGTGCGATTTTTTATTTTCGTCCCAATTGCTAAAATAAGGAATTTTTTTTTTTATCGTTTGTTATATTTAGGTGAACAATTTTATAAATATTATGACGAATTATTTGAGGTGATTTACACGTATTAGTTATTTTTTGGTGCATATTATTTTTAATTAAAATAATATAAAATACTCATTTTATGCTTCCAACTTATCATAGTTATAAGTGAAGAGGGGATTAGATGCATTTTCTCTTTTTATTCTTTTTATCTTGCAAGTCTTCTAAAATAGTTGAATGGAGGAAAGTTACAATCATAGAGCTTAAAAAACATGCATTTTCTTTTTTGCCTTTGTAATTAACTCTTTGACAAGATCAGTGTGATGGATTATTGTGATAAGCCTTTAATTTTGACCTTGTATGATTATGGATGCATTCTTTCTTCTCAAGGTTCCGAGATTTTCAATTTCTGTCGTTTGTAGATTTTATCTTTTATTTGTGTGCAGTTTTTATTTTTGGTTTGGCTGAAATTAACTTTCTTTTTTTCTCATATGGGTTATGACTGTGGATGCATTCTTTTTATTTTCTCTCATGTTGTCTTTTCTTACTTGAAGCAATCTCAACCCTACTAGAATTGCACAATCATTTCAACTTTATTAGTGCAACTCTTATGTTAGACACTCAACATGCTATTGTAAATTAGTGGAGGCTTCTTTACTCCATTACTATGATGTTGCTTATGTGGTTCATAGTATCAATTACTAAGTAAATTAAATTTTTTTAAAAAAAACTATGCCTGAGATATTGTGCATTATGATTTTTATTCGTTCTCATGATTTTTTTGCTGGAGTACTTTAATGTTGACTTCATTGGAGATCCTTCTGATAAGAAAGTTGTCATGGGGTTATGTTTATTCTAGCTATCAAATTTGACTGCAATTCTTCATGTTATTAGGAAAGTTGATGATGCTTATGATGCTTACATTACTCTGCTATGTAAAATGACGCTCTATTAACATTTTCTATTTTGATTTTGTAGAAATAGCATTCTCATGTATTGATATATGCAAAAACTACATGATTTATATGTAATTGTATAATTCTACTATTTGATGGTGACCTAATGACTCAAATTTTTCTACAGTGCATTGTATGTAGTAAGAATTAGATAAAATGGATAACATATAAGCCATTAAAAATTTTGTTAGTTTTTAAGCTATACAAAATCAACAAATTCCATCTAGAAACCAATTAGTTATGGTGAAATAGCGTGATAAGGTTAATGTTTTAAAACAAATTTAAACCTCAAAAATATCTTTATAAATTGTAGCATATGTACTAAGAATTGAATAAAATGGATAACATAAGTCATAGAAGCCTTTGTAAGCCTTCCAATGACACTAAAATCACCCAATTCCATAGAAAATAAGCTAATTATGGTAAATATTTTATTTATGGATATGCTATTATTCAAAAAATACTTTTATTGGTATGTCTTTACTATTCCATGTAACATGATGCAATCTCACCATTTAATATGCTTGCATTGGAGTTTTATGAAAGTTGAATGATATGCATAATCTACAACTACTTGGAAGATATTTAATATCTTTCAAATCTTCTTGTGTTGTGATACTTTTTGCTCGCAAATTTTTCTTTATGATTGTAGGAGATTGTTGAGATTGAGATTAAGGGTCTATTTGGGGCAGCTTGTGTGTTTCAGGATAAGCTGCTAAGCTGCTTATCCTTAAACGCGGCCCACAGGCGTTTCAGGATAAGCTGCTTATCCAGAAACGCGGCCTTGTAAAAACCCAAACGCAGTTTCACATAAGCGGATGAAAAACGCGAATCAAACAGTACGGCGGCGTTTTGAAAACGCCGACCGCACTTATTAGCTGCCCCAAACGGTACGACCCTAATACTGAGGAAGATTCATAAATTATTGAAACAAATGGAATTATAGAAACATGTTATATGCAACTCTTCAAATGGAATTATGGGAACACTTTGTGTAAAGTTCTTCAAAAATAAATGCATGATTGGGTTTGCATTTAGTGCTTATTGCTTCTTTATCTTAATTGTCACAAGATTATTTATTTTCTTTTTTGATCAGCTCAATTGGAAATGTCTTGCTGACTTGTTCAATGCATCACCTTCTAATGCCTTGATATGTTGTCTAATTGTTGGTCAATTCCTGACATGAAAATGAAGGAGTATAAAGTTGTTTTTATGACTTTTACACATCTGATCCTGACCGTAGATCACGGTGATCTACGGTCATGATGTATTTCGGTGAGCCCCATTTTTAATTTTTTTGTTTTTCAAAAAAATTGTTCTTGCATCCCGACCGTAGATCACCGTGATGTACGGTCAGGATCGGACACTGCATCTATCTCTGCATGCGGTGTATGTATGCAATAATTTTTCCAATTCCTGACATGAAAATGAAGGAGTATAAAGTTGTTTTTATGACTTTTACATGGTATAGCAGAATTATGAGTATTCAAATTATACTGCAATAAAAATTCATAATATTCCATTTTACTCTGCATTCCTTTTCCCTGCAACCAAATATCATATTCAAGCCATCATCTATTTAAATATGTTAATTCATTTTATCATAGATTCTTATTTTGTAAATAACAATGTTTTAAGTAAGGTTGTGAAAATCGGATCAAACATTAAACTGGAAGAAGGAAATGTTCAAGTTTGGTTGGTTTGACCAGGGTTAAAATAGGAGTTGAACTGGATGGTGCAAAACATATTAAAAATAATTAAGTATGATCTACATAATACAATAAAAATATAATATTATAAATATAAATAAATAAATAAACAAAATAAAATACTTTTAGTCACATTTATAATAGAGTCATCAAATTCTCTAGTCTCTTCATAAGAGAAAAAAATTGTGTACGTCAATCGTAAGCAGAGATGTGTACGTAATAGGGTATACGGGCGTTATACGGGGGTTACATGGGGGTTACAAGCGTGTTATAACTTCCTTGTAACTTTCGTGTAACTCACCTGTAACCCACACTTTTATTTTATTCATTGAGGTTACAAGATTACAGTGGGGTTACACGAGAGTTACACGGGAGCTACAATGCGGTTATAACCCCTTGTAATCCCCGTGTAACCCTTGTGTAACCCCCGTGTACCATTTTACGTACGTAACTCCTGTGTACGCTTGACGTACGCAATTTTTTTCCCTTCATAAGAGAAGCTAGCCCCTCAAACTCAAGTCCACTCTCCACCAGGGTTTCATATCCTTGACCGAGATTCAAATTTGCACATGGGATTAGTTGGGGTGTTCTCCGGAAACAAGCCATTGATTCAGGATCAAAATAATTGAACCGAATGGACCGGCCCGATCTGATTTTTAAAACCTTAATTTTAAATGCAATGTATTTTAGCCCTTAATTCTAACTTTTTTCTTGGGTGCCCGTACCCGTGCTTGCCCCGAGGGATACGTTCCTGGAACCTGGCTGCCGCCGGCCAAATTTCTTCCTCAAAATCCAACTTTGCTGTTGCTTTCGGCGTCGAGATGAATTGGAAGCCTGCCTCGCTGGTTCTTAAGCGAGCAGTATCCACTTCGCCTCTTCTGTATGAGCGATTAAAACAAACAGGTGATGTGCGTCTTTTGATCCAACAATCTTTCCTGCTCAGGTCTTGTTCGGCCTTCCATTTGTTGCTTGCAATGAAACAATGCCCAGTTACTGATTGGAAATGAGGAGAATGTCGCGACTTCTCAAGAAATGCTATTCATTTTTCATCTGCTTCTTTTACTGATTGATCTTTTGCTGATTGTGGCCCTGATGAAACCCTCTCTTGCCTTCCTCTAATTTCGTTTAATTGTAAAGCGCCCTTCTTTGAATCTTTGATAGCTTATCGCTATTCTGGTTACCCGTTTAAATACAGTAAAATTATGTGCGACCTTCTGATGGCTTCCACTATATTTTGTTTTGTAGAGAATGAAATTGTTCAGATGTTCAGACTTCCAAATCTAATAGATGCATCTTCATCTACTTCAACAAGCCGTGGGGCATTCAGGAACTCAAGCTCACGGCTACTGGATCAGAGATTCCTGAGAATATTGAAGATATTTAAGTGGGGGCCTGATGCAGAGAAGGCCTTGGAAGTACTGATGCTGAAAGTTGATCATCGTTTAGTTCGCGAGGTTTTGAAAACAGATGTTGAGATTGGTGTGAAGATACAGTTCTTCAGATGGGCTGGTAAAAGGAAAAAATTTGAACATGATTGTTCCACCTTCATGGCCATGCTTCATTGCCTTGAACAAGAGGGATTGGTAGGGGAGATGTGGAGAACAATCCAAGACATGGTAAAAAGCGATTGCATCGTCACCCCTCCAGTGCTATCTGAACTTATCAGAGTTCTCTGTAAAGCAAAAATGGTCAACAAGGCTTGCACTATCTTTTATCAAATCAAAGCTCGAAAATGCAGGCCAACTTCGAGTGTTTACAACACCATGATCCTAATGTTGATGCAGGAGGGACATCATGAGAAGGTGCATGAGCTTTACAGCGAAATGTGTGATGATGGAAACTGTTTCCCCGATTCTGTGACTTACAGTGCGCTCATTTCCACCTTCTGCAAATTGGGACGAGGTGATTCTGCAACAAGGTTGTTTGAGGAAATGAAGGAGAACAAAATGCAACCCACGCCAAAGATTTATACCACCTTAATAGCCATGTTTTTCCATTCAAAGAATGCTGACAAGGCTCTCGGTTTGTTTCATGAAATGAAGAAGCTTTGCTGTAAACCCAATGTGTTCACCTATACTGAATTGATTAAAGGACTTGGTAAAATGGGAAGAGTACAAGATGCTTACCATTATTTTCTTGAAATGCAAAAAGAAAATTGCAAGCCAGATACAGTGCTGTTCAATAATCTGTTAAACATTCTAAGCAAAGCTGGTCGTTTTGATGATGTGCTGAAGCTATTTGGTCAAATGGAGTCCCTTCAGTGTGTTCCAAATGTGGTCACATACAATACAATTATCAAAACTCTTTTTGATTCAAAATCTAGAGCATCAGAGGTCGCCGCTTGGTTTGAGAAGATGAAGGAGCGAGGGATCGCTCCGAGTACTTTCACTTACTCCATTCTCATTGATGGTTTCTGCAAGACCAATCGAGTAGAGAAAGCATTGATTCTTCTCGAAGAAATGGATGAGAAAGGCTTTCCTCCATGCCCAGCAGCCTATTGCAGTCTAATTGATGCTCTTGGTAAAGCTGGGAGGTATGAGGCTGCTTGTGAGTTATTTCAGGAACTAAAAGAAAATTGCGGTTCTTCCTCTGCTCGTTTATATGCGGTTATGATCAAGCATTTCGGCCGATGTGGACGCATAAATGACGCCATTGATCTTTTTGAGGAAATGAAGAAACTTTCTTGTACTCCAGATACTTATGCCTATAATGCTCTTATGTCTGGGATGGTAAGGGCCGGCATGGTAGATGAAGCCCAGTCGTTGTTTCGGACGATGCAAGAAGAAGGCTGTAAACCAGATATAAATTCTCACAATATCATCTTAAATGGATTGGCGAAGGTTGGTGGCCCGAAGTTGGCCATGGAGATGCTTAAGAATATGAAGCAGTCTGAATATAAACCAGATGCTGTCTCGTACAACACTGTTCTTGGATCTCTTAGTCATGCAGGGATGTTTGAGGAGGCAGCTAAACTGATGAAGGAGATGAGTGTGATGGGATTTGAGTATGATGCTATTACATACTCTTCAATCCTTGAGGCCATTGGAAAAGTTGATGATGAACCTGCAGAGTCTGTTCGTTGAGGTCCTGCTCTGAATGAGCTTTCCTTGTATTTCACAACCATTCTTTTGTCTATCAGTGTAGTAAATATGATAATATCTCACCTGGAACAGCTCCACTTCAACTTTTGTAGCTATGGAATTCACAGATTTTAGCTAAATGCTTTCAACCAAGACCTTCATAAACTCTCCTTGATAGCGTGGAAGAAAGCGTCTGATTCATTGTTTACAAATGCTTTCAACCAAAACCTTCATAAATTCTCAGAGATGATAGCGTGGAAGAAAGCGTCTGATTCATTGTTTACTGAGATAGTTTAAGCTCCGAGACGCAAAGCCTAAGATTAGATTATTTATGTGATTATTCTTTGAGGTCCATCGAATCCACTTCATAGTCTCAAATGATAACTTATACCATGGTGTAGTTAACAGTAGGGAATGTATTGAACATATAAGTTGTAGAAGGATTTTGAGAGTATGAGAGATACATTGTTACACTTCTGCTGGTGCCATTTTTGGCTTATTTTAATGACAGTGCTTTTCAGAAGTTTTACTGGACTTTTGTTTGTAGTCGGCTAGCCAGACAGAATTGCAAGAAGCTGTCAGGAACTGCGGCTCCAAAGCTGGCGCCATGACCCTGCATATGATAAGACGCATATCCGATGAGAAGCCACTGCTGTTTGTGGCGCCCGACCTGGCACCGTGACATGTATTTAACCCATTCAATGCGACTTTTAACTCCCTGACGCATCGAACAAGGAAGCTTCTCGACCCTAGTCTCAGAGCTATGATGCCCCGCCAAAAATATTGATGGGTACTGTTTGAAGGAGTTATGGTTCGGGCCTAGTGCCGCAGCGCCATGCTCAGTGTTGTGACGATTGATCATTTATAAATAGGGTATGGGTCTAGTGCCGAATTTTTTCGTTGTGAAGCTCTGTCGCACTCTCTTGAAAATTTCTCATGTTTTCCCCCTTACGATGCATCCAAAAAGATGCCAAAGATCACCATCACTAGAGGAGGAAGGTTTCAATTAGCCCAAATTGTGAGCTGGGAAGTTGCTCGCAGGTATGTGTATTCTCTCTGTTACAAGAATATCATTTTCGAGCACGATTTCTTCGATCCTGGGGGCGGTGTTGCCATTACCATCTTGAGAGTTTGAAGTTGTTAAAGGTTTGAATTTGATGGTTTGAGTTTCAGGATTTGAAAGTCGAGGATTTAAATTTGAGGTTTAAATTTGAAGGTTTGAACATGAAGTTTGAAATTGAAGGAGTTGAGGTTTTTCTTTTTTGAAATTGAAGATTTGAACTTTGGATTTGGATTTGAATTTGAAAATTTGAAGTTCAATCCTAGACTAAGGGATAAGATAAGCAGGAAGGATTTTTAGATGGAAGTGAAGTCATAACCCTAAAATAAACCTAGGCTATAATAAAGACTAAATGGGTGGACTAAGCTAGCTTTTGGAAATAACGCCCCCGATCAAGATGTCCGTGATTTTTCATCATCCGTGGTGCATTAGGATCCTTAGAATATTAACCAACCAGATAGTTAGAGGTCTCCACTATTAGCATGACGAAAGTGAATGCAAACATTTTTTCTATTAGGTGGTTTGAGGTGCCTTTAGTAGTAACCATGGTCACTCTATTCTAAGTCACCTACATAATCTAATGAGGTAAGGCTGTTTGTTTTATATGACATAGTCCTTAGAACTAACTCTAGGTATCTATTAAACTAGTTCAAGCTTCTAGACTAAACTATTCTAGGGCATCTATGATCGTCGATTTTTTTTTTAATTTGGCTAACTTAAGGTTCACAGTTGATCTACATAATGATGGTTCTAATGATTTATATAGTTGAATTTTAAAGTTATTTATAGGATTTAAAATTTAATTCATGTTTTTTTTTTATCCCTAGTTTGTCAGTTATCATGAAAATCAGGGTCTTCTAAATTCAAGTTTTGTGTTTGATTTTCTATCCAAAGTGTTGCCCTTTTGATTCACCTTTCTAGGTTTGACTTTCAACGTTTGGTTTACTATCCTATGCTCAACATATGTGCCAAAAAAAAGTCTTATTCCAGTCTTTCATGCTTATTAGGGGAGCCAGGAGAGGGTTTATGATGATTAACCCCTAATGGCAAGGAAATTTTGGTTTAGGTCCAAAAAAGGGAAAGATCCCTTAAATCAAGGGACCATTGGTCCATAGCTCATGGAGGGTGAGCTAGGTGGGTCTAGCTTGGTCACTAGAGTCCAAATGGTCGTTGTAGTGGCTTTGGTTTGATTAATTTAGCTTGACTTGGTCAACTTTGGTGCATGGGTTCAAGCATGGGTTCAATTTTGGGTGGGCACACGTTTCATATTTAAGATTCTTTCACATGCTTACTTTTCAAATTTTCATATATATGTAAAGTATTTTGTTATGTCGTACAAAGATTTAATCAAATGAATCTTAATGTGAGAAGCGTGTATGCATGAAATTGCTCAAGACTTATATGTTTAATTGATAAGCTTGTAAATCATAGATTTTTGAATTTTAACATGTTCATTCATGAGCCAATCATATAAACATATATAAATCTGGATTTGCAAAGCTATATAACTTTTGTGTTAATTGGAGAGCACACATATCTTCAAAAAGGTTTTAAATTTATTTCATTTTGAAAAAGATCTTCTTAAGGTTGTTAGGCTTGTTTATGTTTTACTTCTTAAAAGTTTAATTTAGGTTTTTTTTTGAAAAGGATTTATTTAAATTTGGAGAATTTTGTTTTAAGTTTTATATTGAAAAGTTTATGTTTCTTTTGTTTGGAAAAGGTTTTTATTTTCATTTGAAAAATGTGTTCTTTTAAAAAGTTCAATTAAAGTTTTGTTTTTGTTTGGAAATTCTATTTAAGTTTCATTTGAAATGGTTTTAGAAAAAGTTTTATTTAAAATTTTTAGAATGGTTATGTTTGAAAAAGTCATAGTTTTATTTAAAAAAAAAGGTCTCATTAAATTTTCTCTTTTAAAAAATGGTTTGCTTATTTTGAGGAGACTTTGATTAGTTTTATTTTACTTCAAGGGTCTTGGTCTATTTAAAAGACCTTGTTTTAAAAGGTTTTGTTTTTATTCAAGTTTTGTCTCTTTGGAAATGTTAAGATCTATTTGGAAAACTCTATTAAGGGTTATTATTATTATTTATTTATTTTATTTTGTATTATTTTTGTTTAAAAAGATTATTTTTGAAAAACATTTTGTTAAATTTAAGTTCATCTATTGAAAAGGCTAGTTTTTAGTTTTTTTTTTTTTTTTTTTTTTTTTTATAGTGTAGGAAAGGAGGAATGTTATTTTGAAAGAATTTTATTAAATTTTCATTTTTTGAAAAGATTAATTTTAATTTTTGGAAAGTCTCTTTTTTTTTTTTAAAAAAAAATGATTTTGATTGTTTAAAAATAGCAATGTACCTCAACAAAGGAAAGCATGCTTGATAAAATATTGTAAGGACAAAAAATATGAGTTTCTTTGCAAAATGAAATTTTTGTAAGTTATCACCAAATCATAAACAATAATAATAGATGTGATTTCTTCAATCACTATTAAATCACTCAAATTTCTTGGATTGTTGCCTTACAATAGTCTATAATGAGCACAAATTCAAAATAAATTCAAGAAATTTGTTGTCTCCACATATAAATATAACCTCAATTGCCCCAATGCTTTTGGGATAGGTTTAGGAACATTTATTTATTTATTTTGCCCACAATATAATTATAAGTACGAAGATCAATGTGTTAAAATAAAAGTGAATTAATATATTTATTTATTTTGCCCACAGTATAATTATAAGTATGAAGATCAATGTGTTAAAATAAAAGTGAATTAATATAATTTTATCTTATAATAATGGTAATAATTATTATTATTCTAAGCTCGATGGGTTAATTAAATGTTCTTTAACAAGCAAAAATGATAACATCAATATGACAACTTGCCATTAAGAAAAAATGATTAAAAGAAGTTTTGCTACGTCTTGCATAAATCTACTCATATTATAATTTAGAATTCTAATTGATCACTAGTTGTTGATATTTATGTTTCAAGAAAGGCTCGTTTAAGTCACATTGGCAACAGAAGAGAATTGTATGGATCGAAAAACGAAAGATAAGATGCTCTAATCATGGCATATGGTATCAATCTTATGCAAGTTTTTGCACGAGATATTTTAAATATTCGACAATGATTCATTTTCAAATATGATTTAAATTATCTTAACTTGGCTTGAAAATAGGGTTTTCAAATAAGCTCGTTCGTAATGAGCTCGTGTTTGGCTCGCTTGTGTTTGAATCTTTTGTTAAGTAAATAAGCCGAATACGAATATCTGAGTCATTTTAGCTTAAAATAAAGAAATTATATATATTTATATTTAAGTTCAAATCATAATAGCTCATAAATTCCTTATAATATGATGAGAAAAAAAAAACTATATAATATAATTGGGGCACAATGAAAGCCTTTTCAAATGTTCTCCGGACAATATTTGAATCTTGTTTATGATTTAAGATTTAGAGTATGCATGAGGCAAGGGTCAAACACTAAGCTCAAATTAAATTTAATTTAGATTCGACTAAAATATGATAATGATTCCAAGAATATTCAAACATCGCCAAAACAAAATGAGAATAGGTTTCATTGGGGTAGCTTATCCGCTGTGACGGTATTTTGAAAACGTCGTCTCACCATTTGGAAACTGTGTTTGAGCAGTTTATCTGAAAAACACAGTTGGTTTTTTACATTACAAGCGGAATGCGGGTCGAAACCCGCGGTCTGCGTTTCTAGATAAGCGGTTTATCTGAATAAACACAAGCTTCCCCAAACGCACCCTAAGATTCAAAACACTTCTGCAAACTCGTGTTTGAATCATTTGTTAAGTAAATAAGCCGAATATGAAATAACTGAGTCGTTTTAGCTTGAAATAAAGAAATTATATATATTTATATCTAAGTTCAAATCATAATAGCTCATAAATTCTTTACAAGATAATGAGAAAAAACTATATAATATAATTTGGGCACAATGAAAGCCTTTTTCAAATGTTCTCTGGACAATATTTGAATATTGTTTATGATTTAAGATTTAGAGTATGCATGAGGCAAGGGTCAAACACTAAGCTCAAATTAAATTTAATTTAGATTCGACTAAAATATGATAATGATTCCAAGAATATTCAAACATCGCCAAAACAAAATGAGAATAGGGCAAAATGAGAATAGGCTTCATTGGGGTAGCTTATCTGCTATGACGACATTTTGAAAACGTCATCTCACCATTTAAAAATTATGTTTGAGCAGTTTATCTGAAAACACAGTTGGTTTTTTACACTACACGCGGAATGCGGGTCGAAGCCCGCGGTCCGCGTTTCTAGATAAGCGGTTTATCTGGATAAACACAAGCTGTCCCAAACGCACCCTAAGATTCAAAACACTTCTGCAAGTTCTTTCCTAGTTCAAACTTTTTGTAAATATAACATGAAGATTTGTTCAATCTGTTGCTTCCAACAAGATCAGGAATCTCTAAAAAATATAAGATACAAGAACCTTCAACATAAATAAAAGAATATTAAATATTAAAAGACTGAAAAAAAATGTATAATTTCATTTATAAGTTGTGAATGCTGTCTATAGCCCAAATCATATACAGAAAAGTAAAGCCATACCTCCAGCTTCTATACATTCAAAAGAGGAAGGCGACAAAAGGTTTTTCAATTAAGATCACAATGGGAAGGTACCCAACTCCTGACCGTGCCGAGTAAGTAAGACGGTTCGACCGCCAACCCATTGAAGCCGATACGAGAGATCGAGATTATGAAGCAGAAGCCTTATCCTGTCTGCTTCATCCAATTCCTCTGATTTTTCCTGTATTAACTAACACAACTGTTTATGTGCTGAAGAAGAAAAAGTTACAAGTTTGAATTCCTGTAAGCTAATGTTTCAGCTGAATTAATAAATGATGAACCATTAATACTATTGCTAGTAACATCTCATACAACAAAGAAATTATAAATCATATCGTCAACTGACAAGAAAGACATTTCTACAAATATAAAGGTTTAACACAAGTATCATCAAGAAGAAAACATGATACAACTGTATCAGGACTTCTCAGATTGATGCAACTGATTTATTATTATTTAATTTATTTATTTTTTTCCAAAATAAAAGATGAAAATAAGCATAGTATTTTTCAGCATTGTTTTATGGTTTTACTAGAATCATCCCATATAACAAAATAAATACTAAAATAATAAATTCAAAATATCCAAATAATGAAAAATAACATGCACGCTTACCTCAGAGTTAGCCAGTCTATCAGCGCTGACTATGTTTGCCATTATACTTGACCTAGAAGTATTCGGAGAAAAGCCTTCCCATGGAGGAACAAAGATTAATTTGGTGCACTGAACGAGAGGCAAGTTTCTGCTTAGCTTCTCCCACCAGGGAGTTCCGAGTGACCACCACCTCAGCAATAAGCCGTTCTCAGAGAAAGCAACTAGCCCCTATAAATGAGAAGAGAAAATGTGAGAAGAAACATCAAATAGAAATACAAAAATATACTAGTGGGCTTAAATAAATATCATGTAAATTATATAAGCAAGAGTAATAAAAGAGGAGTGCAAAGAAAAAAAGAATGATAAAAAAAGTGGGTAGTAAGAGTGCTAGTAAGAAGGTACAGAGTGAGTGGGGGGATAATATATATATATATATATATATATATTTCTATATATATATATATAAACATACTCCGTGGAATTCGAAAAATATTAGCGTTGTACCCCATTTTTATAAATTTAGCCTAGTGCCTTTTTTTGGTTGCAACTTTTGAGATTTTTACCAATATGGAATCTGATCAATGCAAAAAGAAATTTAAAAATGATAAAACTTTCAGAACTAAGAGACATCAATCAAAAAGATACAGGACTTCCCAAGAGACCACCCATCATAGTACTACTCTCATTATTGTGAGGTAGTTGCAGAAACCAATTCGAGATATCCAAAACAAAACTTAGAACAAAAGAAAACAAAACAAGAAATTGCGGAAAAATGCAAGGAATACCAAGATTAAACATGGAAAAACCAGAAAAAGCCATGAAGTCACACCACATCAAGAAATTTACTATGAAAATGATGAGAAATGTACATATTACAACACACTCAAGAATTTCTACGCTCCTGGAACTCAAGAACAACATTTTGGACGCTTCTCTCTCTTTCACATATAAGATCATGAAATCCAACAATACGCACACACTAATTCGCAATGAACCCTAACTGCTAGAAACAGTTACTGGCATCGGAGCGCCAACCCCAAGCAGTAGATTTCCAGGAGCTTGGGTCCAGGGAACGACCCGGGACATGCTTCTGATTTTCCACTTTTTTTCACCATCTCTACTTTTCACAATCAAGTTCCACACATAACAATCTCTTACTTGGAGACTAATTGCAATAAATTCCTCTATTCCAATCCGCAACTTTCATAGTAATGAACTATAGTGTGCTCAAACCCTACTCTCAACCTTACAGAACTCCAACTAAAGACAAACATAGCTTCAATTTCTCAGTTGTAACAACCTTAGTCAACATATATGCAGGATTCTGACATATGTTTATTCTCCAAATATAAATAATCTTCTATGAGTGAACGAATGAAGTATACCTTAGTTGTATGTGCTTTATCCTGACATGAAATGTGACGTTCTTAGCTAGAGTCATTATGAAGTTTTTCAATTCTTTGCTCCTTGTTTAGTATTACCACACAGCCCTATAGCAAAAAATTATCTCCTTGCTAACCTTAGTGATAGCAATGTGCTCAGCTTCTATAGTAAAAAGTGCAATTATCTCTTGTAGCCTGAAAAACCGAACTCATTACTGTGTTCTCCAAAGTGCATTACATGTTGTACTTCTTCTACCATTAATATCTTTTCTCAGATATGAATTTACATTTCCATGTAAATTAATTCTTGTAATTTAAAAAAAAAGTTTCTTGTTGATTGTTCCTCTCAAATATCTGAGAATCCAGTTCAACACCTCCCAATGATGTTTGGTTGGATTACTCATGTAACTGCTAACCACTCCCACTATATGTGCAATATCCGGTATTGCACATAACATTGCAGGCATCGAACTTCCAACTGTTGAAGCATAGCAAATTCTTTTCACCTGCGCTTGCTCTACTTTAGACTTAGACAATTGTTCCTTAGATAACTTCAAGTGACTACCTGAAAAGTTGCAAACTCATTTTGCCTCACTCATACTAAACATATGCAAACTCTTCTCTTCATATTCTGCATGAGACAACTTCAAAGTACCTGCACATCTGCCTGTTGATTCTCATACCAAGATTCTTCTTAGTTAGACATAAATCCTTCATCTGAAACTCTCTTGATAGTTATCTCTGATCTTCTTTGTATTTACTTCTACAATCAACATGTCATTCACATACAAAGAAAGCATAATATAGCAATTAGTAAAATGTTTGATGAAGTAACAATAATCTATTTAGCACTTCATGTACCCATTATTTAACAAAAACTAGTCAAAACTCTTGTACTGCTGCCTTGGTGTCTCTGCTTCAAACCATAAATGTTGTTCTACAATCTACAAACCTTTTTTCTTTTCCTAGAACCTGGAACTTCATATCCCTACGGGTGCACCATATATAGTTTATCTTCCAAGTCACCATGTAGGACGACTGTCTTCACATCAATCTATTCTAGAAGTAATTTTTTCTCTGCTACTAAGCTCAATATAAATCTGATGGTTATCATCTTTACTACAAGAGAAAATATCTCCAAGTAATCCACTCCTTTCATAAGTTGAAACTCCTTCACAAGCACTTGCTACCATCTGACTCTTCTTTTAGCCTATAAATTCACTTGTGCAATGATTTTTGCCATCTGCTAATTCGACAAATCCCATGTCTGATTTGACCTTGCAGCTGTATCTCGCTATTCATGAAAAACTCGCACTCCTATGAGGCTTCAACTTAAGTGGTCTCTTTATATCACTTTGGTTCATTACTACCAATTATAAAAAAATAGTAAGAAAAAAAGAAAATATCTCCAACTCATGCATGTTTTCTTCTGAAGAAAAATAACTCCTGAACCTCTTATCATGATACTCGTACTCATTATCTGATCTAAGATGCTTCAATCTCAAGTCTGTATCATTCTCAACCATGACATTCCAATTCTTAACCAACTCAAACACGTCATATTTATCTTCTAAGAAGTACATTCATATATTTCTAGTGTGATCATCAATGAAGTGACAAAATATATGAAATCTTGAATAGACAAAATTAGAGGACTTCACACATTAGGATGCACTAACTCTAATTTTTTGGATAAGGACCTCACACATTAGGATGCACTAACTCTAATTTTTTGGACTTCAACTTTAACCCACTTTTGGTGAAAGTAATCATCTTTTGCTTGCATAAATACAACCTAAAAAAAAACTAACTTTATAGACTTTACACTATGAAGCTTTTAGAACGGAGTGACTTCATTCATTTCTCACTCAAACAGAGGCGTTGCGGCTTTGTAGAGGAGCTCCCATGCGAGGAAGACAACGTGCAGAGGAGGGGTTCATGTGTGTGGATTAGGGCTCAATCAGATTTAAAAGGTAAAATCTAATAATTTTATTTAATTTATTATTATATATATAGAGGAATAAAATGAGGCAAAGTATACGAGCTAGAGGAGGAAGATTGACCCAACTAAAGTTTAGTAAGAAAATTTTGAGTTTATATTATAATTTAATTAATGAATTTCAAAAGCAAAATAAAGTTAATTAGGATTTCATAAAATAAACTAATGAAAATTTAATACTTAAACAATATAAATTCAATAGCTAATTAAAATGAAAATTAATTAAAATTTTGAAATATGAATGCCAATGTTTATCATAGATATTAATTTTAAAAGAGACGACGTCAAAACAAACTAAATATCAAATTAATTGTTATCGAGTGAGTAATTGTACATTTAATCTATGGTAATATTTTAGTTCTTCTCAACAATTTTGTATTAATAGTTAATGACAAACTAAATATCAAATTAATCGTCATCGAAGTGAGTAATCATACATTTAATCTATGGTAATATTTTATTCTTCTCAACGATTTTGTATTAATAGTTAATGATTTTTACTAGCTTTATTTTGGTTTATATGTTCTTTTCATTATTGACCACATTGTTATATATAATATATTGAATTAAATGTGAAGAGCACATGAATGATATGACTATAGTGACTGTTTATATGTGTATGACAGACTATGATTATACTAGCAGGAGGACGCTAAGTTACCAATGCAAATAAATGGAAAATGATATTAATGTTGAAATATCTTTAATTAATACAATTTTTAGACAATGCTCTTGCGACGATTGTACAAATTCAGAATGATATAGATATGTTGTTGATATAATGATTCATTGAATTACATTAAATTCATAAAATATCAAATATTTATATTAATTTCTGAAAAGCTTAACTAACGTACATATCGTTTTATTTTCTCTAGTATTACCGTAGTTTATGAGTGTGAGTAGAATTCATTAATTTCGATTAGCTCATAGTTATTTTAAACCAAATTTTCAGGTTGTAATTAATTTATTAAAAGATGAGCAAAAGAAGAGAGAATGTTTACAGAAGACGCGGACAACCTGTAATAAGATAAATTTAATTAGGTTATTTTAATTAATTTCTTTTTGTTGCTCTTTTTTGTTAATAGCTAGTTATAGAAAATAAATAGAAACATCTTAATTCCCACCGTCCAATCGTCTTGTACCCGACTTGGTTAATTCCAAACCCCGAGCCGAGTCTTAGCACAAACCTTCTCCTGTTTGCCACACTTCCAATTCTGCCCGTTAAATTGTACAAAAGAGTATTAAAACATAATTTCACAGGCCTTGGAATTTTTATAGAAAATAAAAAAAAATAAGAGATTGACTTTTTTTATTCACGCAAAATTCACTTTTTGTATAATAAGCCATTTGAAGCACTACATTGTACAAAAGAGTATTAAAACATAATTTCACAGGCCTTGGAATTTTTATAGAAAATAAAAAAAAATAAGAGATTGACTTTTTTTATTCACGCAAAATTCACTTTTTGTATAATAAGCCATTTGAAGCACTACATTGTACAAAAGAGTATTAAAACATAATTTCACCGGCCTTGGAATTTTTATAGAAAATAAAAAAATAAATAAGAGATTGAGTTTTTTTATTCACGCAAAATTCACTTTCTGGATTATAAGCCATTTGAAGCACTACAAAAAAGACGCATCCTTAGGATAATAAAAAAGGAATTACGTTGATGTCGGATCACATAAAACATGGTGTAATTGATTATATATTGATACATAATATATTACAAATAGGCATATATTTCATAACATTATAGGATTCATGTCGCAAATGGTCGCAAGTAAAATAGAAAATATAACATTAATGATGAAGGTAAGAAGCGATGAAAAACCTATGCATATTTGAATTGAATATATACACACGGCATAAAAACAAGATGCAAAAAAGGTGTGTCATAGTGCATGCTAAGAAAACCCAGTGATGCTAAAGAATAGAATATGTTTTTATCCATGAATTAAACACTATACCTCTTCATCTGGGGAAAATATTAATGCTGATATGGCGGTAGTCATCCCTGTGTTTGATGTTCCTTCAAGTAAACTTGGAAGGCCAAGGGGAGCACTTGCATCCAAAATCTTTATTTTTGTTACACTGCATGGATATAAAAATAATATGATAAAATATATGTAAGAAATTAAGCTGTTCAGGCAGACTTGAATTACGTATAAGAGTTCAAATTTTCTATATTCAATGTTTCTCAAAAAATGCCAAAAGTTTTATGTGATTTCAAGGCTAAAAAGTGGAATCCATATTTAATATTTTAACAAAACAAGATTTATTTAAAATGATAGAAACAGCATCACTAACCACAAACACAATATTTGTCAATTAAAATTTGCATCGTCCCAAAGAATATGCATGACACCATGAAGGGATACAAGCAGAGAACCAAAAGTCGAAGATAATCTGATACAGATTTTAATTGGAGCCTGCCTAAAAATTGAAACTTCACTTGTAATGCATGAAACAAATTATACTTGCATACTCATAATTTAAGTAAACAAAATAAAATGATCATTTGTAAATTGCCAATGGCTGATAAATAATTTTGGAGATCCCAGTGCTTAACTTGCATTGGGCTACTCCTCTATTACTGACTAAGAGGAACTTGTTACTCTTAGAGAACTGACAGAGAAACTGTCTTTATGAAAAATTTCATCAACAACTTCTGCATTTATACTAGGAGGGAAATGGAACCCTTAAACTCTACCAACATTGACGATGCCTACTATCATACCCTAGAAACACGGCTGTGCATTGAACAAATTTATATTAGGCGCCATCCGCACTTTTGGACCTCACACTTCATTGCAGCCTGGTAGTTCCTATGCCACAGATGTTCCACCTTTGGTTGTGAACTCTCCTTGATCTTTTCTTGTATTTTAGGATTATATCCAACAGCCTTCTTTCTTGAAGTGTTGGCTGCTATATTATTATATAAACATAACATTTCAGCTGTTATTTACCATGAAAAATAGAAGAAAATTCCTCTTCTTCTCTTCATCTCCTCATTTCAACATGATCATAGAGCTTTTTCTCTACTAAAAGTGAAGGGAAACAATTATAAGCATGTCCTTCTTCGGTGAAGCAATAGATGGGGAAATGGTTGGTTTATCCTCCTCTTCTCCAAGCCTCAATTAAATGCATTGCAGCGTTGGATCATTCTAGTATTCAAAAAACTTCCTAGGATTTGAATGAAAAAAATGTCTTCCAACAATCCAAATGGTCGTAGAAGGCACGAGTAAAATTGGGTATCTTGATGATACAATAAGAAACTTGAGCCAGCAAATCCCCTCTTCACAACATGGAACACTAACAATGTTTTTGTAATGTCATGGCTCAGCAAATATATGGAAGAAAATATTGGCTCTGTAAATTTGGTTCACAACACAGCAGAGAACATTTGAGAAAAGTTTAAGATGGCTTTCTCTGAACATGAAATATTTGCACAACTCAATGAACTTAAGATTATGGTCAAGATCTCAAGCAAGGGAGCATAAGTCACGAAATATTATAACATTTTTATTAGAATTTGGCAAGGGCTAAATATTTTGATGCCAACATACTAGTGAGGAGAATGTATGGGCAAGTACATGATCGAACTTTAAGACAACACCCAATTTAGCTCTCTTGAATTGGGATGGTATACAACAGGAAAGAGTTCATTCTTCCCAAGCTTGATTATTCTTTGATTTTCCACCCATTTTCCTTCCACTAAATCATTTATTAATTCAAGCCAAACTAACCAATTTATCAACATACACTAAAATATAATTTTCTAACACTATCAAAACTATTAAGTTTCTATCATTAACATAACTACCTCACTAGTAACTTACGCCCACTTGATGGGAAAACAAATCATTCATTGCAAATTTTCACGCAGATCTGATTTATTTTTAATGTGGCATGGTTTCCAATTCTATTTTCAAAATGTATACGTATGCAAGCAACAACAACAACTAAGCCTTAATCCCACTTAGAGGGGTCGGCTACATGAATATTTTTTCTCCATTGCGTCCTATTTAGTGTAATATTTTCATTTAGTTCTAATAAATTAAAATCATTTTTATACAATAAGTCCATGTCTTCCTAGGTCTACCTCTGCCTTTCTTAACATAAGTCGAATTTGAAACATCTACTATCTTAATCGGATCATCAGATGGTCAACGCTTAATAAAATCAAACCATCTAAGACGACTTTCTCTAATTTTGTCCGTCACAGGAGCTACACAAACCCTATTAAAAAAATATTCATTTCGCATTTTGTCTCTAAGTGTAAAGCCACTCATCCACCTAATCATTCTCATCTCGGCAACACTTAACTTATTATTATGCTTCTCTTTTAAAGGCCAACATTCAGCACCATAGAGCATCGCAGGTCTCACCACCGTCTTATAAAACTTTCCTTTAAGTCTAAGCAGTACTTTTTTATCACATAAAAAGCCCGAAGCATTCCTCCACTTCAACCAACCAACTTGAATTCTACTATTAACATCCCCATCTATATCACCATCGCTTTGAACAACATATCCGAGATATCTAAATCGTTCACACCTTTTAATAATTTGATCTCCCAAAGTTACACTTCTGTCACTAGAGCTACTACTACTAAAATTACATTCGATGTATTCAGTTTTAGTTCTACTCAAAAGAAGGCCTTTAAAGCTTTTAGACTCCAATGTAGACCTCTATAATTCAAGTTTTTCCTGGACGCTTTCTCTAGTTTTTTCTACAAGAAGGATATTATTAACAAAAAACATACAACAGGGTGCATCCTCCTGTAAATGTCCAGTAAGACCATCCATAACTAAAGTGAAAAGATATGGGCTTAAAGCCGATCCCTGACGTAATCCAACAGAAATAGGAAAATATTTGGTCAATCCTCCTTCAGTTCGAACACAAGTAACAACTCTAGTATACATATCTTTAATGAGTTGAATATAAGGCATATCAATACCTTTCTTCTCAAGAACTCTCCAAAGGATATCTCTTGGAACCTTATCGTAAGCTTTTTCTAAATCAATAAAAATCAAATGTAGATTCTCCTTGTTCTGTCTGAACTTCTCCATCAAACGTAAGCAAGCAATAAAAAAGAATCACTTCAAGAATAGACTTGTTGCAAAACAAGAGTTATTAAAAGAATATTCATCCAAAAAATGCAAGCAATAAAAAAGAATTACTTCAAGAATAGACTTGTTGCAAAACAAGAGTTAAACAAGAGTTATTAAAAGAATATTCATCCAAAAAATGTTTTTTTCCAAGAAGGTAGATTCAAAAAGCAACAAAAAAAAATGATGCCATCTAACATTATAAGCTTTGCAGCGTTAAAACCTGCATAATGCACTGTTGACGAAGGAAAACTAATCATGTCATCCTGCACACTCAGACAATACATTATTATCAACATTATTGCTTGGCAATGCTTTGTAGGGGCAATTACATACATAGCACACAATTCTTATGTATTTACAACTCACACCTAAACTTTCATATTTACACACATAGCACTCAAATCTTTAATATCACATTAAAAATAACACTATTACTACCTTTTAAAAATGAAATACTCCTTTTCATGCATAGGTTTTAAAATATCAAACTGCAATGTGTGTAAATCTGAAAGTTTAAATTTGAGAAATGAAGGAAAAAAGTCACAGTTGAATCTTTGAACATATCTATAAAAGCAAAAAAGGATAAAAAAATGTAAAATACCTCTCCAAATCATAGACACGAATGGTTACATTACGAATGTCACCAATAGCATCCCCACTGGCTAATCGTGTTGATGAATCATTAAGAGCAACCATTGGAAGTACACGTGCAATTTCCTTTAGAGCAAGTATGGAGCTTTTAAGGCAAGCTTTACGCATAACAACATTACTGGGATCCATAGTTTGTAGCACATAGTTCACGACCTGTAAATCTCCTTTATGTTTTCAGAGGCTCAGTTATATTTATTGTATTACAAGGAAGTAAAGCTTAACCCTTTTCATGCAAATCAAATTTTCAAACAAATTATGATGCCGAGGTTAACTCAAACCACAAAAGAAAAATATATAATATTACTAAAAATAAATAAACGGTTATAACCAACACACTTAAAAGGGAAAATATAATAACACGACAAAAGCAAGCACCAATAAAGTGTATCCCAAGGGTACTGGAGGCAGGCTAGGTGGATCAAAATAGTTGGCAGGTGTGGCGCAACAAAGGAATGCTGGTAGTAGCAAGGGGGTGCGAAAATGCAGGGAAAACACATATAATTACCATCCTGGATGGTGACAAGCGAGAAGTTAGGGGTGGGTAGAGGTAGAACACCAGGAAGGCGGCTTCTCTGGTTGTCGTGGGCGGTAGTGAAACGGCGGAAGGGCTGGAACAGCAAGAATAAGGCTGGAAAGAGATGGATTGGGCGGCAACAATGTTGGAAGAGAGGGGGAGGCTGTTGAGCGACTGGAAGCTGCAGGAAAACAGCAAGGCGAATGGGTGGGGTTTCTGGGTGGTGACAATGGTATAGGATGGTGTGATAGCAGCGACAGCGATGTTGGTGGGCTTGAACTGCTTGGTCAGCAAAGCGGGGGAGAGGAGAAGGCAATCGTGATCGCTGGAACTGCAGAAAACAGCAACCGGAATGTTCTCCTAGATGGCTGCAGCAATGAAGGGAGGCCGGGAGTGAGGTGGTGAGGATGCGAAAGGGGATAGAGAAAGTAAACACCACATCGGGAGAGAGATACAGCCGTAGCACCACCCAATTCCTTGAATACAACCCTTAAAGGGAAAACAAACACTGGTGGTTGTCCTGCGAGAAAATCTGAGCCCAAAACAACCAATCCAAATCCTAATACACACATCTATAAAAAATGACTAAAAAGAAATGAAGGATAATGAGAAAGAAATCATAGAAAGAAGGAAAATGTAGCCTGTGACCCATTTCCCATGCTCGCGGGAGTCATGGTGTCCCACATCCCAAGAAGGAGCACCCGTGACATGTCCCACATTTTGCGCGGGAGACACGCCCCCGTAAGTCTCCCGAGGTTAGGGGAGCTTCGACCTCATCCGTCGAAGCTTTTGTCTCCTCATAATATGACGTCGGATCAGTCACGTTGGAAGGCAATAGAAATGTAGACATCTCCAAAAAAGTCAATTATGCACGCAGCGTCATTCCAAAACATATCTTGATAGAATAGATATACATTCTCTCTTGGCACAACTTGGACTAGGGAAACATAACGACGTATATTCCTGCAATGTAAATCTCCAGGGTCTGTCTGGCGCAGCTGCAGATTGTCAGCTTTTCAGCTGCAGCCCCTTCCTATACTCAACGGAATGTAGCTGATAAGCAAGTATATGAGGAGAAATCAACTCTAGGAAGAATTCTGTGGCAGGATGTGCCACTCTCACTAGCAAACACATAAGAGATGAATGCATCCCATTAAAGAATTTTCTTCTCCATCAAGCTCTTAAGATAATTTTCAAAGTTGTGGTTCATCCCTCCTGTCTGGACATATGATAGTAGACACACTACTCAACTAAATCTAATATCAGAATAACTCCATATAATTTTCCCGAAGTAACTCAAAATCTTCTCATCTTTGAGGAGTTGGACCACCCTTACTAAAGGCAACTGAGGATGTAGGCTATATATCTGAAAAGTTAGAAATCTTCTTATCTAAAGTTGTTGGGTGTTTGGTGTCGGTTCCTCGGACTTAGGACCGTCTTCGACCACCAATGTGAATTTTGTTGTAGTCTCCCTAATGGCATCAGCTTGAACTACGTACTTTTCTCACTCATCAATTAGAATCTGATCCTTCTCCTTTATTTCCTCACCTTTTCCAGCGTCTAATATGTCATTTCCCCTTTCATCAACAGCTCCAAGTTCAATAAAATATAATATCTCACTATTTGTGTATTCTGCTTCAATATGCCCAATCCATAGCACTTCGAACACTTCTTGGCTGGGATGGATTTTGAGAATGCGGATTGGTGTCTTATGTTCTTAACACTGAATAGTATTTCCTCAGGCGAGGTCCGCTTCGATGTTCCCCTGGATGTACTATGACTGTAGGATCCTAAAGTTAAGCCCTAATTGTAAGATTTGATGGTCGTCAGGTAATGTGATCTCACCACTTCTGAACCTAGGGTCCTAACATCTGATCTGTAGTGAGCTAGTAGGAACTAGCGCAGCATCTCTCAATTCATCTTGGATCAGGTTGTAATTGTCTTTTACCTCACATTGGCGTAGGTACTTCAAATTTTTGCCACCAAGATAATGCACGGCAACTAGTTTCACCATTCCGTCCAGTGGGATGGTATGACACTCAAAATCACATTTCAAGGTCTAGAGTACTCGATGACTTCATCTAGATCCATGTAGACGTCGAAATATAGCAAATTCATCTTTACTTTAACATTCTAACTTTTTAAATATTTCAAGTCATATCATTAAGGTAGAGATCCTTCATCCTTGGAATTCACATGGTGGAAGAGATTCGCTCCATTTCTTTGATCAAACAAGTGATTGTTGTGGCTACGTGTGATCTATCAAAATTGCCTCCTCTCGAAGGTGGCAGACCTCTATTGAAGTTGGTAGATTTCCCACTGCATGTAGTTCTTAAAAATCTCCCGAAAACCTCTTCGAGAATTTCTCATGTACGGCATCGTATCCTTTTCCCTCGATTAAGCTTCCGATAATTCTCTCTGGTGGCATGGCTTTGGATGTGGGCAGGTATGACTAAAAACAAAGGGTGATGTAGTGTGAGAGAAATTTTAGGTAGAGATAGTTTGGGGTATGACGGATGCTAGAAACCCCAGGATGGGACTAGCATTAAGCTAATTCTGATACTAAATGATACTGCAGTTAAGTCAAACCACAACAGAAAAATAAATATTATTACTAAAAACAAACAAATGATGACAAACAACACACTTGAAAGAAAAAAAATACAATAACACGACACAAGCAAGCACTACTAAAGCGTATCTCAATGGTGGTGGAGGTGGGCTAGGCGGATCGGAATGGCTGGCGAGTGTGGCAGCAGCAAAGAAATGTTGGTAGAAGTGAGGAGGAGGTGCGAAAATTAAGGGACAGCAGATATGATTGTTGTCCTAAATGGTGGCAGTGAAGAATTGAGGTGGGTAGCGACGGAACAGTCGGATGACGGTGTTACCTGGCTGTTATGGGCGATAGCGACACGATGGGAGGGCTGGAACAGCAGGAACAAGGTTGGAAAGGAGCGGTTTGGGCGGCAGCAATGCTAAAAGGGGAGGGGAGGATGTTGGGCAACTGGAGGCTGCAGGAAATAGCAAGGTGAAGGGTTTTCTGGGTGGCAGCAACAGTATAGGATGGTGGGACAGTAGCAGCAGCGATGTTGGTGTGCTAGAACTGCTTGGGTAGTGAAGTGGGGGGAGGAGAAGGGAATGTTGATGGTTGAATTGCAGAAAACAACATTCAAATCCTGGCGGTTGTTGAAATGAAAGGGCAGTCGAGAGCGATTTGGCGAGTATGTGGAAGGAATTGCAGAAAACAACATTCGAATCCTGGCGGTTGCTGAAATAAAGGGCATCCGAGAGCGATTTGGCGAGGATGTGGAAGGGGATATGGAAGATAAATATCATCTCGGGAGAGATATATAGCGAAAGCACCACCCAATTCTTTGGATGCAACCCTCGAAGTAAAAACATGCGCTAGTGGCTATCCTGATAATCTGAGCCCAAAGCCTAATACACATATATATAGAAAAGGACGAAAAAAGAAAAAAAAAGAATTATAGAAAAGAAATCATAAAAAGAAGGAAAACACGGCTTGTCACCCGTCTCCTGCGCTAGTTGAAAGCGCGGCCGCGCCACATCTCATGCGGGAGGCGCACTTGTGCCGTGTTCTGTGTCCTATGCATTTTATTGGTGGTTTATGTTGATGACATAATTAATACTTAAAATGATGTGGAAAGAATATTATCATTGAAATTATTTCTTCAAAATCAGTTCAACAATAAAGATCTGTGTTTCTTGAAGTATTTTTTGGAGATTGAGATATAAGGAGCAAGGGTATATTTCTATCTCAATGGAAGTATGTGTTGAATTTGTTAGCAAAAATTGAAAAATTAGGGGTCAAACCATGCAGTATTTTGATGCTTCCTAATCAACAACTTACCAAGCAAGGAAAGCCCTTTGATAATCTTGAACAGTATAGAAAATTAGTGAAAAAATTAAACTACCTCGTAGTAACTCGGTCTGACATTTTGTATTCAATTAGCACTACAATTCAGTTTATGTCTTCCGCTACAATCCATCATTAGTTAACTTTGGAACAAATAATATGTTACCTCAAGGGAGCTCCTGAAAAAGGTATTTTTATATCAGGATCATGGGCATAAGAAAATTGATTGGTCCTTTGATGCAGATTGGGGCAAGTTCAAAATTGATCGAAGATCCATTACTGGATAGTGTATTCGTTGGTGGCAAGTTGGTTTCATGGAAGAGTAAGAAACAAAATGTAGTGTCGCGGTCTAGTGTTGAATATGAGTATCGAGCGAGAGCACAAGATTTGAGTGAATTAGTGTGGGTTTCCCAACTTGACCGAAAGTAAGTTTAATATGGCAATTCCAACAAAGCTATGGTGTGATTACCAAGCTGCAATTCATATGACCTCAAACCCTGCCTTTTATGAACAAGCAAAGCACATTGAGACAGATTGTCATTTTGTTCACGAAAAAATTCAACATAATTTAATTTCTACAGCTCATGTGGCGAATAGGAAACAACTAGTGGACATCTTCACAAAGGCCTTTAATGGAGCTAGGGTCACTCATTTATAACAAGTTGGGCATAATAAAAATCTATTCTCTAACTTGAAGGACAGTATTATGAAAGTAGAAGATCCGAACCTTAAATATTAGGAAGCTTGTATATTAGAAAATTTGATATTATGCAACCTAATTAAAAGAGATCTAATTGCAGAATCTTTTCTATATAGAGTTATTCATAATCTAGAGTTGGGAGTGTATATAAATATGATATGTTTTCAATTTTGAATAAGAAAGAGGAAGTTTTCCAGGCACAGTGCCTTTTAGAATGATACAAAGATGAGTAGAAATCAAAACCATTCAACTATTCATGATAACAACACCAGCACAACTAATACTATGTTCATGTTATTACATGAACCAACGAAAAAATACGGAAGACTTGAACTTGAGTAGAATAACCAACATGAAATGTATCTCTCTATGTTATACCACTAATTTAATTCTGATTGTGTTAACATGGTGCAAATAAAGAAAGACTATTTTTTTCAAATTATGCAATTGACTTTGCATAAAAAGTTTATATAAAGATAGAATTCATGTGCATATTGTAGAGTATGTGTATTGTTATTTTATATCCTCAAGCATAGTGGTGTAATCAGGTCATTTGATTCAACTTCCAATCATTCAAATAAAAAAAAAGATAAATGTGTAGGTTTTTGAATGTTGTGTTATATCCCATAGAAGAGTTACGACCTAAGATGAAAAAACCTCCAGTGCTCCAGATTTCAAAATAAAATACAATAAAATAATAGATTCACGATTTTTTAAGAAAATGATAATAACACCTCATGTAAGTTTTCAACTGCTTTAACTAATATAGTGTATCTAAATTAAGATCGTATTGATATTATTTATGGAACATACAGTGAAGTCATAATCTAAGAAGCATGAATATGTTTTTAGAGGTGAAAATTCTAACTGTCCCAGAATGTGCTTGTAACGATAAACTTCAACTTGAGATTCATGCACTAAAACACCACCCTATGATTTGTGTATTCTAGAAATTAAAAAATAATGATATTACATAAATCGCCATTATTGGTTTTGTATTTTGATGAAAAAATAACTCAAACTTATCTCACAAGTCACAAGTGAGTACTAATTAGTTGGTAACCACGAACGGTGGTTTTATATTTTCATATCATGCCATAAGAGATCATTTGAGGGAGTTCACTAAAATAAAACCAACAAATTACAAAAGGTTGTTTGACCTTCGACATTCATTGCTATGTATCACTGTGAAGCTTGCCTTTTGTTCTCTGAAATTGATTTAAAATTATAAATGGTGACACGTTTTTCATAGCCACCACAAGTTAGTATTGTCCTGCTTGTTATATATTACATAATTAAATTATCATGGAGGTGATGAGGGTTTCATGCTTTTGAAGGATAGGCGGGCAATAAGAGGAATGCTAGTTTGCAGGATAAACGAATTAAAGATAACTCATTGGAGTGGTTGAAAAAAAGGACCGAATTGCCAATGACATTTATAATCATATGAACGAAGTTGATTATTAACAGAAAACTTGGATTTTGAGAGGGATTTCTAGTCTTTCTATAATAAAATGAGATAGATTTCTACTGGTTTCTTATGTTGAGTGTACATTTTTTTTTAGACAGAAATTCATTGATTTTTTTGTGAGTGTAGATATTTTTTTGTGATAGAGAATATTGATCTTGTTTTGTCGGTTGTACATACTTTTTGGTGATAGAAACATCTGTTCTCTAAGCTGACTGCGCATATTTGCGTTGCCATTAAATTTTCTTTAGGACAAATAAAATCAATTCATCCCAATGTCACATCTGCATTGAAAACTGAAAAAAAAAAAAAGATTTTTTATGGAATTTAAAACCTAAATGGATTGCTAGGCTACTTTAAAATAATGTTTGTACATTGACCCAAATATAACAAGTGATAAAGGCTACAAAAACGCTATGGCCAAAGGTGTTGCTTAAAAATTGACAGAATTTTGGAACTGAGATCGCACCTGAGTAATATAAGAATCAGGCTTGACCTCAAAAAATTGCAGGAGTCATATTCATGTTTTATCCTTCGAAACCTTGGTAGATTATATCCCGAGTTGGGGAAACATAAGCTTAAAGTGTCAATCTCAATTACAGCAGCATGCAATTGAAATTTTACTTAAGAAAATTCATTTACTAATTTCTTTCTTATTAAAAGAGTTTACTATCAAGACTTTTAAGAAATTATCGAGCAAAGTAGCTAACCTATAAGAATGTAGCAATTATCATTCCTAATTCAGGAAGAAACCTTTGAAAGCTTAAAAAAGGAGATATGAGAATGTTTTCATTACCGATAAAGGAGAATGACATGAAAATATAACCAGAAAATTTTAGACAGTAGCAGTTGTAGCCACCACAACAGCCATAATAAAAATAGCAACAACCTCAACAACCCTATTGACCTGAAGGAAGAAGAATTTCTAGATTTACATTTGAAGAAATGAAGACTCGAATTTATTCTTTCAAAAATAAAGCTGTGAAAAGGATGTTAAAGAAACTATAAAAAAAAACAAATTTCAAGCTCCCTGAACCTCTCAAAGCTTAAAGAAGTAGGAAGAAGTAATGAGCCAAATTACTATCCATTTTATAAAATACTCGGCCACATAATAGAAGAATACTTCACTTTCAAAATACTTTGCAATCTAGCAATTCTTGATAACTACTTTTTATTGAATTCAATTCATTACCTTATTATTAGAAATTAATGTTGTAACCTTAAAAAAAACATTTTTTTTTCAAAACTCAATGCCACGGTACATAAATATTCACAAGCCATACATGAATTTATGCTTTATACAATGTTTGATGATTTCCTATAAATATATTGTATAAGCTATATCACAAAAAAAGCTCAACTTAAATATAAAGAAAAAGGTGGCGCATAAACAACCAAAACATAGAGCACTCTCTGTAACATTAAATAATAGCTAGCATGTAAAGTCACTGTTACAAACCTTTTCAAGATATAAAGCCAAGAGTTTTGGCGAGCTGCGTACTATCCTGACGAGAATTTTTAGTGATACAAGATGGACGGGTGAATCTGATGAAGTAGACCAGATTTGGTCCTCTATAACATTCAGAAAACCAGCTATATCAGCCATTGCTAAACTTGGCAAGAGAATCCCTACCAAAGCCTCCAGAATATTGGCAGCCATGGATGGATTATGTTTCCCACTATTAGCCAGTGTGCCAGAAAGACACTCTATTTGAAAAAATATATCAACAACAAGACGTGGTATTTCAGGTCCCAAGCACGACTTCCAGGAGCTTTCCATACCTTCAGCCAGCAGCTCAGCTGCAGTAGAACTGAATCGGTCATTCATAGACATAACTAACTTAACCAATCTGTCAGCAACAAGCGCTGCAAGATTTTCCTTCACTCTATTTGGGTACCAAACCACCAATGCTGCCGCAACAACAATTTGGGCAGCCATGGCATCCTGGCTAGTTCCACCAATACAAGAAACCCACTCATGAATTTCAAAAGACTCGAGCCATGAAACAATTTCGCAATCAGTATTGTTGGTCTGTATAGAGTTCTCTATTCTTGTGTCACCATTTGCTGATATTTTATCATTCTGGACAAAAAGAGGATGTGGAATAGCTCGCGGTGCTGCACAATGGAACAAAGTGCGTGCAGCCATGCGCACATGTTCACTAGGGTCTTGCCAAAAACTAACCAACAACTGCACACATTATAGATCAAATTAGCATGCAAATTCATTCGTTGTTTTATGTAATATTTTTTTGAGCAACATTAAAATTTAACAAGCACACAGAAACTGCTCTTCAATATCAAGATCAAAGAGAGATGCCAAACCATTAACATTTATGCAACCTGGAGTAAAGGAGGCTTTATGTCTTGAACCGTCTCAGCAAAATTTCTAGTATAGAATGCCGCCAAGGAACTACAAAGAAAGAATGAATAAAAAACTTAAATCCTCGGACACAAAACTTACCGACGCAGACATAAATTTAATTTACAAGAAACCGATGAGTTGTCATAGAATTCCAAGTGAAGGGATAAAAGGTGTCAATGTGATCTTGGAATGTCTAAAAATATAATGCGAATAAGTTTAACTAATAATAAAGTAAGGAGGCATAAAAAATTATTAAAGAAAAAAATTATACTTTTAAAATATAGAATAAAGCATATTACGAAGACACAAAATAATCACAAAGTATAAATTTCACAAGGAGGGTGGTTAGCGAAACCTAAATTTTTATAGTATAGTGGGGCAAGGATTAAGAAAGCAGAAGATGAGATATAAAATAGTTAAAATAATAACAAATTTGATCGGCAAGAATGCATGAGTGAAGATATAAAAAACTTCTTTAAAGATTAAAACACTAAGGAAAGACTGAATTTGATCGGCAAGAATGCATGAGTGAAGATATAAAAAACTTCTTTAAAGATTAAGACACTAAGGAAAGACTGAAGTGTTATTAAGAAAGCATTAAATGAAATTTAAGGGGTTTTTTTAAGAGAAAAACTGATAGATTCATAGTATATTATATATTAATTCAAAAAGGTAAAGTTAATTAGCTTTGAATAAATGATAAAGTTAAATCTTTATATTCACATACGTTTATGTCAAAACTAATATTATTAAAATACTATTGACGCACTGGTACCCAGGACTGGAACGTGTTAATGAACAAAGAATTTCCATTCTCAATAGAATAAGATTCAAGGTCTCTACAAGTTTCTATCTTGATATACTGGCTAGAAAGATGTTGAGAAAAGCTATTCTAAGTGTCGCATATTGGTGTAATTTATTTGCATATATAGTTTTGATGGCTAAATCCCTTTTAGAGTTAGTGTAATGTTAGCAGATTTGAAGCAACTTTTGAAAGATAAAGTGCTTAAAAAAATTGATAATTCTTAGTAAATAATTTTAAAAAATTAAGTAACAACTAGGAGAGATATTTAAGCACTTGGATTAAATCCTTCAAAATTAAGTGATACCTAAGTTTGATAGCTCCATTTATCACAGGTCTATTATAGAAAGCAATAAGGATATAAATGAGAAAGTAAGCTACAAAAATAAACCTAAAGGTGGTCAAAATGGAGAAGTACCTCAAAGGTATTCAAGATTGTACTCTTTCAGAGCATATATATATATATATATATATAGAAGTATTTCTGGACCAAAAAAAAAAGAAAAAATAAACTAAAAAAAATAAAGCTGCAGCAATTAGAAAAGTTAGACAATACTAGGTAGCTCAAATCTTAACATGGGAATACTAATCATGGGAGAACCCAAAAGCAAGCTGCCACAAATCAGAGAATTTTTGTATTCAAATCTTCAAACCAAAAAACTCATAACAAATTCTTATTTATAAGCTCCGAAAAGCCATTAGACTTTCAAACATCTAATATCCAAAAAAGTGAACAGCCAAAATAGGAGGAGAGGGAGGATAAACAAGTGCATAAGATGAGCTTTCAATTATAGAAAGATAGAAGAAAAAAGGGAAACCAATTAAGGCAAGAGAAGGGTTCCAAAGCCTTGAAAATGGAGATATTTATGATGTTGGAAACTTTGAAAAGTATGCGAAAAGATAAAGTTAATTAATTAAGAGGGAGAGGCGGCCAAGGTAAGAAAGGAAAAAAAACAGGTAAACTAAAAGATGCAATAACTTATCAACCCAAACACTCTAAAACACCCATGGCATGGCCACAATATAAAATATTCTCACTGCTATTGACACTGATCTAGGGTTCCTAGAATGTGTGGAAGTATCAATGGATGGGTCTAATGCTAGGAAGAGGAACGAAGGGAACAATGGAGATCACCACTGAAAAGGCGTACAACCGGAGGATGGACAGCGAGTTCAACACCAAAAACATCAAGTAGGCAGCGGTTGCGAGGATATGGATAGGTATCCAAACGATCAGAAAAAATTACCACCAAATTAACACCTCCATTCACTCATGTTACAGGGCACACCACCTAATAAAAATCAGGGTTACAACACTCCAACAGGAGGAAACTAGATGAAACAGCCTCTATTGCATAAACCAAAAGCATAAAATCCCTCAAATCAGTCCATAACAAACATATAAATAATTGTCAAATAAAAAAGCCCTAATTCTATTTGTAAAAATATAAAATAGAGATCCACAAAGGACTGGAGCAGGAAAAAAAAGAAAATTTTCTCGCTATAGCAGCAGGACAAAATTCCATCTCCCGCGATCGCCCAGGATGCGGTTCCAGCTCCCTTGGAACTCTCCCCGTCAGCTATCCTCTCATGAAATAAAATACATATGAATATAGTGAAATTTCCAAGTAAAACCCAATGATCAACCATGACAATAGCTATAAACTCTGACTTCCTCTTCAAGATGTAACTTTATAAATCAAATGCTGAGAGGTAGAAGAAAACAACAAATATTTAGCTTGTAAAAGGATGAAAATGACTTTAGATTTCTGATGGTAAGAAACTCAAAAAAAAATAAATAAATAAATAAAACAGGAATCATAAATGCCATGACAGGATAGAAAGAAAAACCATGCAAGTCAAAAGGTTGGGAACTGATCATGGAAAGCTCGAACAACTAGACTATACCACAAGAAAGTGGTTTCTCGATTTCAAGAAATTGCATTATTAAACAAAAAACCTAAAAGCCTCACCTGCCTGCAACTGTAGTCGAATGATATAAGCCAATCATACGTTGCGCGAGTGAAACAATTATAAGAGACCTCATAGCACAATATATGGCTGAGGACTTCCAAAGCTGAAATATAGACTAATAATAAGATTCCACCTCAACGTTCAAAATGCAAATATTACAAGATCAGATCCTGAACAGATTACCTCTTGACTAGCACAAAGACCAGGGAACATTAAAGTCATTGAACCTCTATCCCCCAGTATTCCAGTAGCCATTTCAAATCCATCTGGTTTGCATATATCCATTTCCTTCTTCAAAAGCTCGTCTAATTCTAGATCGACATCCCACAGGTGAAGAAAACATAGGCTGAACCGAAGCAAATATCCTTCACTTCTATCCCTTTGAACAACAGCACTATCCTCTGGAGGTCCATCTTTCAAAGATTGCTCTTTTGCAATATCAGAAGAATGAGAACCTGCTTGTTCAACACTATTTTGAACATAGTGCGGGGAAACTAAAGAGGAGAGGTCGAATTCCAGCACAGCAATGCCAGGAAATGGGCAAGAGCTTATAATAGGATGTCTCTTGTTTTCGCAAACATGGTGGAAAGTAACTTGCTTTGCTGAGCTGTTTATAGGTGAATCTGAATTGGCATCATGAATCATGTTCTTGGAAGGTAGCTTTCCTTTATCGCTATTATTATATGACTGTGGAATGTCTGTAATTTTCCTATCAGACTGCAGTTTTTTAACCGCAGAAACTGCAACTTTGTCTGCATCAGTTCTCATTGCTCCAGATTGAAAGAAGCCGGAATCATCACTAATGGGAAGAAGCAATGTTGATGCTGAAGTTGTGCTTCCCATTGTACTTCCATTCATAAAGTTTGTGTTGATACCCTTACAAAAATGATCTAACATTGAATGAGAAGCAGATCCACGGATAATCCTGTCTTGAGCACCTGTTTTAACATCCCACAAGTATAAAACACCAACAGAGTCAGATTTGACAGACCTATTTCTGCAAAGACATGCCAAGTATCCTCTTCTGCTGTCCCAAGCAACCACAGATGGATAACTAGGATGACCAGGGAACATCCTCTCAACACGTAATGTCTCAATGGAAACAAGGGCCACACAACCATCTTCACCAATAGAGAGGAAACAGTCATTCCATGGTCGGTTGGTCCAGGGTGGTGGTAGTATGATTTGCTTGACTGGAGCTATATGATGATGCATTACCCAAAGAAGAGTTCCAGAATCAAGATTCCATATACAAACTGTGCAGTCCATGCTTCCTGACATTAGTACCCTGTGAAGACTAAGGTTGCTTGAGCTTGCAGACATATGATGAGCTGCCAAGCAAAGCACAGCACCTCTGTGTCCTGAAAACAACCATTCAGTTGGATGCAGATTAGAATGGATCAACGAATCTTCTTCCGTAGAATTCTCTTTTAGAGATGGACTCAGCAGCCATGCAACTTCAATTTCACCACTATAGAAGCCATAAACAATGGCGTGTTGAGAGTAAAAATCATCTGAAAGAACCAGTGAGGAAGAAACGATACGATCTTTCAAACTATGGCCATTTTCTACACTCTTTTTAGCTAAATACCCAAATTAGATAAGTCTGAGCTCCCTTTTTGCTGGGAACTGTTACTCAACCCCTCATCAAAATTTATTGTGGGGCATGATGACTGAATATCAGAAAAGCCACCTTTTCCTAAGAGTATACATGAAGAACTACTAGCATGCTCACTCTTCATGGTTGATTCAAACTCAGCTATTGACCAAATAGTTATTAACGCTTTCCAAACCGATAAGTCTCCTAGTGACATACAGAAAGACTCTAGACGAACAAGAGAGTCACTCAACTGACAGAAATGAAACAATGACCCCCCTACACTATTCAGCGGGTCCGCAGGAACTTCACAAAGAGGCTGAAAATTAAATAAAGTGTATGATATAGAAATTAAAAACACCCTGGCGGACCCATTAGTATAGCAAAGGGCAAAACAAAAACTTCTTGGAAAATCCTCCTGAGAGGCATGGGTTTTTGATACACTGGCACTGGCATCGGCATCACGATGAAGAAACATTCCTCCGCTAAGATTTAATTCCGCGGAAGAATCTTCACTGCCAAGTTTAGAATCCAGTAAAGAAATCTCGCCCATGATCTTGCCATTTAACATAGACCAGAGGCATGGGTTTTTGATACACTGGCAGTGGCATCGGCATTACGATGAAGAAACATTCCTCCGCTAAGATTCAATTCCGCGGAAGAATCTTCACTGCCGAGTTTAGAATCCAGTAACGAAATCTCGCCCATGATCTTGCCATTTAACATAGACCTAAATTCGCAGCGAAATTCGAAAATGAAAGACAAGAGGTTACCATTTTGAGCTACAGCCACAACAGGAACATCATTGTCAAGGCCACTCTCAAACCATATGGATGTGAGCGAATCCGACGAAGAGCCTTGATTCATAGCACTTGTTGATCCTTCACCTTCATGAAAAGACTCTTTAGGCAGTGCCAAGAACTGAGATTTCCCATGCCCATCAAATAGAAAGATACCCTTCTCCAGTTCGTTCATCGAAGGAATGAAAACAATGGATTTCACACAACCAATGCTCATGCTCCCATGAAAGACGGTCTGCACCACAATCAGCGTTTTGGAGTCCACGATCAGCACGGAACTCTTCGAAGCTTCGCCTGAGCTGCACGCGATGCAAACGTAGCGCGGTGCAGAAGGAAGTGCAACCAAATGAGACGGACTTCCCGCCCATGGCGGAAGCTTCCGACGCCGACGGCAGCAAAAGCTTCCGGCGCTCCAGACGCAAAGCACGCCGTCCGCGCATGCGCTGAGCAGCGCGGGAGGGTAGAGCGTCGAAGGCATAGAGTTTGATGCGGGTGGAACAACAGCGGAGGGGAAGCAGGAGGAGAGACCCACGATCTCAGCGGCGTGACCACAGAGGAAGGCGAGGGGGCGGACATCGTCACCGGATAGGGTCCAGCGGACAATGGAGCCTTCGGATCCGCCGGTGAAGAGGGACGGCGGGTGGTGGAAAAGAACAGTGACCGCAGTGATGCGGTGCGAAGGAGGTGAAGGCGGCCAGAGACAGGCGATAGCCGGACACTTCATCGGGCATTGTTGTTTCTGGTTGTTAATTTCCCACAAGCTATTCTATGCAATTTCTATAATTTTCATATGAAAGCCCATAAATGGACAATTTGGTAGCTATTCTATGCAATTTCTATAATTTTCATATGAAAGCCCATAAATGGACAATTTGGTAGTAATTTAAGGTTATATTTAAGTAGGATTGGATTTAAATCTTGTCACATGATAAATACTATGATTTAATCATGCATAATCTTAAAATCACCATATACCAATTACATTTGCTTTAAAACATTGTTCTTACATGGCCTTGGTCTTCTTTAACTTAAAAACACAAGGCTTATGAAGAGATTCTCTTCTTCATGCTTCATGTTATAGCCTTTATCACGAAGTTGGTACACCCTGATAACACGCGACATGAATTAAACTTATTTTTGTATTCTCAAATGAAAGAATATATGCAAAAAATAATGTGAGTAAACAAATAAATATAAATTTTAACGCATTCACAACTCATGTCTTTTATTTATTCTCTTTATTATTTGCATACAATCTTTTGTTTGATAATATAAAATAAGTTTAATTGTATTATCAATTTGTACTGTCATCATGATCTGGGGTGTGATATTTTTCAACTCCTATCTTTATTGAGCTTGCAGCGTGACTCCATTTGTTTTTTGCCATTAAAGGTTGCACAGCGAGGAGTAAAAGTAGGGTTTCATGTGCCATGGTCTCATCGACGTCTTTTCTAGCTCGCTCTAATCATGATTACATTTTTTTTGTATGTTGGGAGTTTTGAATAGAAGAAGACGAAGGGGAATATGAAATGGAGAAGAAGAGGGTTTCAATCTTTATTTGTGCTTAGGAAAAGCTTTGACTTGAAATTAACTATTTAAAAATATTAAGTTAGTTAAATTGAAATTGTTAATACTTTAATCTAATTCTCTTATGTTTAATTATATTTATAAATTTTGAATTATATATTGATTAAATTATTAAGTTATGCTTTATATTTAAATTATGCTAATTAATAATTAGTAGGTAGATAGCACATGCTGGATTTGCATCTTCTGTTTCATCTTAGGCCAGCTAGCGGCCTTATGTGTTCTCTTATGCCGTCATAGGTGCTTTAAGTTTTCCTACCAAAATAACGGATTCTTCTTTAACTAGCCCGTAGTTGTCAGTCGGAATTTTGATTCGCTCGCTTTTGAAAATGATTTAAATTTAATTTAATATATTTTTTTTATTTGGAAAAAATTATTTTAATTTTTGAAAATTTAAGACTAACAAGATCTCATGCATTTTAATAGTTTAAATAACTGAGCACGACACTACAAACAATACATCTATCCCGAAGAATAGACACATTCCTCGACAGTGGGCTCGATTAAATAAATTTAAAAAAATTATGACACTTGTTTGATCTGCGAACCTTTTATGTATGACCGACAAGTTCCTCTACCTGATATAAGGATTTGATAGGGTTTATATTACATGGGTTCTTTAGTTCCCTATAAGGGCAATCTCCTATAGTTAATTACATTCTAAGTGACCAAAGTCACTTAAAAAATTCTCAATGATGATCAGAGGTTTCTGTCTTTAAGGTTTCAAGTCTAAGTGACCGAAGTCACTTAAAAAATTCTCGATGATGATCAGAGGTTTCTGTCTTTAAGGTTTCAAGAGAAAATCAAGTGGGAAATTGCTAAATAGGAAAACTTATTTCATGAGTCAAATGAGTGAAAAGTAATAGATGTCACGGATCATGAGGAGAACCTCAGTGACTTCTCAAACTATCTTATTGTTTGGTTTTATGTTTTGAAGATGATATTATTTGAAGTTTCAATCCTGTCAATTTATTATTTAAGGCTTACAGCTACACGATATCTGATCATGCAAATAGCTTGAAAGAAGAAAAGATTTATGCCGTATCAAATAACGACCTCGAAATTCTAAGAGAGTTAGAGCTTATATTACACAATAGGGTTGTGCAAAAGCCTGAAGATAATGTGAGGATTTATGTCGCACTAGACAGCCAACCTCGAAGTTCTATGAATTTGTTGTTTAATTCTAACGAAAGTTTAGTTGACAAATATTTTATTTGCTCTATATGTGTTCTGCTGAAGTTGATCCTTGATTTGTCGGCAGAAGTCCTTTGTCCTTCGCTTGCATTCTAGTTGTGCTGCCCACGAAGGTTGCTCCGAGCTCCTTGCTGGCGGTGACTCCAAGTTTAGGGTGGGTTTTATGTTTTATGTTTTAATTTTGATTATTGTTATTAAAATTATAGGATGTGTTTGTTCATATGTTGTAGTGATTCATCCTAAGCAACTAGACTAATGTTCTTTATCCTAAAGTTTTGGCAAGTATGCAACAACATACATAACTAAAAGAGCTAGTGAAAACGAAGTAAAAGAAGTACAACAATAAAACACAAAATTGCGTACCTGGTCCTCTACTACTGTTGTAAATAGGTTAGTACAATAAACATAATATAACAGCATGTAGGAAATTTGAGCGAACGCATAAATCTTAAGCAAATCATAAGAAAATTCGGCACAAGAAAGCTTAAGTAAATTGCAAGAAAACATGAATCGAGCAAAACAAAACTCATTGTCATATATAGAAGATCGGGGTTAAATGTAAAAATTTGGTAAATGTGGTGGCTCAGAGCTAGGTTGTGTGCTTTATAATCCCAACCTTGGACAAGAGCTACCAACCAAGCAGTCTAAGGAGGGCAATTTCTAGCCTCAATCAAAGTCATTAATAAATGGGCCATCATAATCCAAAATTTTTTTAATTTTTCATGCATGTAGTAGTCAAAAGTAGTGTTGTCACAAAAAAAGATATATTTGTTATGTTGTGTGTGTGTGTGTGTGTGTGTGTAAATGTTTTGACAAAATTAGATAGTCAACATGTTAATTACTTTGATCAAATGTTTTGACAAAATTAGATAGTCAACATGTTAATTACTTTGATCGGACTAGAACTACCAATAACCTAAGAAAGTTAGAGGCAACTTTATCAAAGGTTGGGGAAAAGTATCATTGGTCCTATCCCCTCCCCAAAGGTCGTTGTGGTAGGAGATGTTATTTTAATATCCAGCTCTTAGCACCCATAAGCATAGTTGTCATTGTCCTCGCCATCCAAACCTCTGGCTTACACAAGCCTGATGATCCATATGTGGCATTAAAATATTATCAAATGCTCAAAATGGTTTGAATATCATATCCAAGACTCATACCACCGAGCATTGAGTTTTGCAGTAGGATAAGTAGTGACGAGGATTTCACTAGTGATTTAAGTTAAAAGGGTCATGAATCATATCTTGGTGGGTCCCTAAGTTTTTGAGGATTATTTACTTCAACAAATTTAGGTAAGCACAAACTTCTTGTATCAAGCAACAGTGTTCCTAATGCTCTTCGCCAATAACATGTGCATCATGGAAGGGAATCAAGCTTACTTAGTACTGATAACAAGGGCTAACAGGCAGAAAGACAAAGTGCTATCAGCCATCCAATTCAAAGAGGGCATTCTAAAAGACAATGGGAGTTACTTTGATGTTCTTCATGACTCTGATGAAGAAGTGAAGCCCCAAGAAGACATGTCAAGGCAAGTAGTGGAGTTTCTTAAAGAACTATCACCAAGGAGGGAGAAAAATCATCTGATTATGCTGGAGCCAAGGGCTAAGCCGTTAACCATGAAGTCTCACTGCATGACACCCCTCCCCCATACCACCAGAGATGAACATAAGTTTTTCAAGAGCAAACAAAGAAAGCTGGTCTGAGTGTCAAGGAGAAGTCGCAATGAGGGCATTGCGAGCTTAAGTGTGGGAGAGTGTCACGCTACGCTATCCTCTAGAATTTGGTAAGGGAAGCATGGGATGAAAGATTCCAGAAAAGACTGGATTGTAGAGAGAAATTCAAAATATTCTAGAAGATTTCACCCAGTTCTAAAGAAGATGAGAATGAAAAGCTCCAAAGAGAACTCAAGAATAACCTAGAAACTTATAGAGTTATGTATGTATTTTTGAATAATGAAGAACACTCTATAAACTGGGTTATTCTAAAATATTCACTTGGACTTTGAGGGAGCTATAAATAGGAGTTCCTCCCCTCATATGCAACATCCAAGAAAATATTATAAGCTTCCAAGCATTCAAGTGTTGTAATTTTTCTTTTCTTAGTGAAGTGTTCCTTTCTCCAATACTTCTCCATATTCTTCTTCCGAAAGTGTTGTGAGCTTACAAGTCCAAGTGTTGTGACGGTTAGGTTGATTAAGTGCCAAGGAAGAGCGATAAAGTAGCACAAATGACTAGAGATAAGTTAGTCTGTGACAAAGGGCAACCCTTTATCAAATGTTGGTGAATAGTAATATCAATTATGCACCCTCACAAGGTCATTAGGTTTAAGAGATATAATACTATTCCACTATCTCAAATACCTAGATGCCTTTTTCATCATCGTCATTCCCACCAAAACCTCCAACCTACACCAGCCGCAATGATCCATATGTGGTCATTTATAATATACCTAATTATTATAAGGGTTTAGGAGTAATGTTCAAACTCACACTCTGAAGTATTGAGTATTATTGTATTTTAAGTTGTGACAGAATAATTCTTATTAGTAAGTTTTAAGTTGAACGGTCCCAAATCATATCTTGGTTAGTTTTTATGTTTCGGGGAAGATTTTCCTCAACAAATTGTAATAAGACTAAATGTCCAATAGAATGTACAAAAACTTGTAAAAGGTATTGACGTTGAACAACCTTAGGATTTTCTGAACCATTTCAAGTTCATTTGGCATTGTTATATTGTTAAATTGATCGACCCATGGTGAATTAGGAGTTATATTATTACACTTTAAACTGTACTTAGTGTAATCTTGTAGATGTCTTAATTAGCCCATGAGTGAAGCAAATGATCAATCCATAATCTCATATTAAGAGTTATGCAAGTAAGCGCCCCTAAGGGTACGCTTATTATGTGCTCTTAATTGGGCTTGAGTCCGTAGTGTTTTAAGATGTTTCATTATCACTTATATTTCCCTCTTTAATTATTTTTCAA